AGCCCATTCACCGGTTCCCTCTTGCTAGTCGCTCCGGCCCCCTTCCCTTCCTTCGTTCCTTCCTTCCTCCCTCCTAATTTGCTGCGGGCTGCGGCGGCAGCTGCTCCTCTGGCGGTGGGGGAGGGACCCCGGGGGCAGCTCAGAGCGCGGCTGGTGCTCGGGTGGCGGAGGGAGAAAGAAGGAAGGGAGGCAGTAAGTGAACGGCGGCTCGCAAGCAGGGCGAGGGAGGGAGGGAGGGAGAGGGAGGCGGAGGGATATTCGGGCCGGACCTCTCCGCGGCGGCACCGCGCTCTCCGTCGATTGGCTGCCGCCGTGGCCACGCGGAATCCCCAATTGGCCGGGCGGTCAGTATTGAAGGGCCGCCCTGCGCCGATTCGTCTGCAGGTTTCAAGGCCCGGGTTGGCGGGAGGGCAGCATCATGGGGTGTTGGGATTGGCTAAGAGAAGGGAGGTTGAGGTGGGGCAGGCTTGAGCCGCGCACTGATTGGACTGGACTGGCAAAGGCCGTGAGCTCCGATTGGCTGGGCGCTTGGAGGAGGGTGTGCTGTAGGCCGGGCTGCGAGTCTGGGCCATTGGCTAGGTTACTAGACGTTGATAGGCTGGCGCGCCCGGGAGAACTGGGGAGAGGAGTTCGGGGTCGGCTCCGCGGAAAGGCGGGAGGCGCCCGGCCGCTTTAGGGGGCCGGCGCGGGGCACGCTGGGACGCCCCCGGGAATGGGCGGAGCGGTGTCGGGGCCGCCTTGGGCTGCAGTTGGGAAGGCGTCGTCACTCCGAGAGGCGTGCTGAGTGAGGACTTGGCGGTCCTACGCGGGGGAGGGAGGACCGTTAAAAGCCCCGCACCGCGCCCACCGGAAGCTGCTTTAATAGCTGGGCCTACTTCGTGCAGGTTCTGGGCTGAGGAGGATCTTACAAGACCACATCTGGTTTAGCTTCTAATTTGCAGGTGTGGAAACAGGCCCAGAGAAGGCACGGAATTTGTGCAAGATCACACAGCCGATTAGTATGGTTGGGACTGCTCGCTAGCGCTCGCGCCTGCCCTTGACTTTGTGCTCGCAACTTCCCCCTCCAAGGAGGTGAATACTAATGAAGTTCCTTAAGCCTATTTATAGTGTTCAAGACCTGGGCCGCTGCGGTGCTAACTCAACTAGATGAGGGCACTTGACTTCTTCGGTTCCTCTTAGACCGCCGTCCGTAGAGTTTCATCCTCCCTTACAAAGAATGTGTGCACAGGCCTAAAGGCTTGTGAAGTTCAACTTTTTGACCAAGCCAAACTCGCAGCCATCGAGTCGATTCATAGCGACCCCGCAGGAGAGGGTAAAACTGTCACGCTGTGAGTTTCGGAGACACTATCTCGTTGCAGGAGTAGAAAGCCCCGTCTTGCTCCCTTTTGTTTGTGAATAGAAGGAGAAACTAATGAAAGTTTTATTTTCGCAAAGTGCGCATAAAGAAAATGTCCATACCGTTTCTTAACTTCCCCTGACATTGGAAGGGTTTAAAAGTTTCCTGAGTTGATAAATTTTTTCACCATGTTGATGATAGCGCTGATGGCAGGTAGTTTGTGGAGTAATTGACCTCCCCCTAGCTATGTTAGAAAACCCTAGGTGGAAATCTGGCCATGCTAAGGGGTTCCACCCAAAAATGAAGAAACCGTGGCCAGCTACCTTGGATCCTTAGAAGAGGAAACCTTTTTCTCCACTAGAGATACCTTTGCAACCCGAAGGCTGCAATCCTTCACCCTGTGTTGAGTGACAAGCTGGTTCCTGGGGCTCTGCAGTGCACCTAATAATCTTTTGCTTTATCGATTTTAAGCACTGGCCTGTGTGTAACTTTATTAGAAATCAGGAAGGGTTAAAAGAGATGACATCCTTGGAAATCTAAAAACAGACCGTAAAGGAGTGTACGAAAAAAAGTCTAAAAACCAAACTCAGATCCATCGACTTGATTCGGACTTATAG